TTAAATAAAGGAAAACACTGTTTTAAAATCTGAGTCAGCTTTTGAAACAATGCCCTAAGAAACCTACAGCTCTAATCAAAACTTTAATTTTGTCAAATCTATATGTGTTCTTGAATATGTTGAGAATAATGAAATTCAGAGTCATTACTGTACAATGAATATGCATATAGAGCTAAAACAAATTGGATGCTTGCTTGATTTTTTAAAAAATTTGCATATTTAATGTTACAAAGTACCTGGTCATATTCCCCATGTTAAGAAAATCTGAACTGTTTTTAATGACCAGATTAAGAAACAATTGTGACAGATTTTATTTCTGTATTTTTGGCTGGAATTTTGAGTCTGAAATGACAAACTGGAGGAAGATTTCATAGAGTAAATCTGCTGTGACTGAGCTGCTTCAGCTTACAATAACTGGAAGGTGACAAGTTTGCCTCACTGGCTGAAAACAATGAAGAGTCTAAGATCAGGGTGGGGCTGAGTGCAATACAAATACAGCTATGTATAAAACTTTCTTTTCCAAAATGCTACAAAGTGGCCCTAAAAAGCAGTTCTTCTAACAGTAGCACAGAAAACATCTTTTGTAATGTTTTCCCTTTTTTGGAAGGGATATCCATTATTATTTCAATGTGCTAATTTCCATCATATTACAAAAATTACAAATTTGAATGTCCTATATTAATTTTCATACTTCGTATTAGAATCACAAAACTGTAACGCTTTTTCTGGAAGAAAAAACAACATTCTACTCATCTACAGCCATGCAAGAACAAGAAATCCTAGTTTACGAAACCTGTTGGATGGTGAACAGTTATAGGTGAGGGAACTGATGGCATGACCTGGGGCCACTTCATAGTTCATCTTTCCTTATATTCCATTTTTGTCTTATGCTTTGCCACGGTTTCCTTCCAGTCAGAATATGACAAAGTCAGAAAAAGAAAAGCAGTTGAATTTGAGAAGAGTAAGGGGCCTGGCTTCCATCCTGTTATAGACAGTGCGTTAGGACACACATCTGAAACTTCTCCATGTAATGTTCTGTATGATGTGCTTGTAGATCACAAATCTTCATCTGTTTCAGTTATATGTATGCATATATTTGTGCTTATGTGTGTGTGTATCTCTCTATCACATCACCCCACCCCCCCACTCCAACCCCCCCAATACATTTGATGGCTAGGAGTGTGGATGTTCTGGAGACCCAAACCCCAAACTTGGTGTACAAGGGATGGGAGGAAAGTAGTAAACTGTCAAGTGCACTGACATGCATCGATTCTGCCGTCCTGGCTGTATTCTATTTCAGACTCTTTTGGCAAAAATATAAGCTGTGTCTGAAAGCCTGGGCTAGACAAATAAAAGCTGCTTTTGGCCCACCCTCCCAACAGGTTGGCTGTAAGCCAGTTGTGGTTCTTAAACCATATGGCCACATAAGCTCAGTCACAGAGCTGTGCTAATAAGCTTGTCATCCATAGTAGTTCTCTCTGTAGTGACACCCTGGAAACTAATAAAAAGTTATTCATCCTCTGATCACTTTTTTTTATTCTGCTCTGCTCCCCCACCACTGAGGTGCTACTCTGTTCTCTAATGTAATCTCCTTTTCTTATTTGTGTGCACATACCTTTGTGTTGTTAGATATTAAAAAGCATGCTGCTTAAATGGCTCTGCTGTGTATAACCCAGGGGTGATCAAGACTGCTCTGTGCCTTATATCACACTATTCTGAAGTGCCATCTTCATTAATCATCCACAAATCTTGTTAGGTTCTTTTTATATTCTTCCAGATCATTGCTAAAGATTTCAAGTGTTAAACCAGAAAGGATGCTCTGCAGATGCTGCTAGATAGTCCACTTGAAGTTTAATGTTGACTGATTTCTTTTGCTTTCTCTTCAGTTAACTAGCTTGCAGGATATTTTACGTGTTCTCTATTAATCACTTACATGGAATAAATGACACTGTTAGTAAAGACGAGAGAGGAAAACAGAAGCGGGTTTGACAAAGGAAGTAAACTGGAGCATGTATGAGTATTTGGCCTGGAGGTTTTGCTAGAGACTAATAATGTTTCACTTTGGTAGGCTTGTACATCTGGTTATCTCTTTTATCATCAAAATTACTCACTGTAAGCTTATGTTTTATGAATTTCAAGTCCATTTTCTCTACCTTGAGTATAAAATATTTTTTGTATTATCTGTAAAATATATCTGTAATTACATGAGGTGTATGAATTTGTTCTGAGTATTACTTATGATATCTTCTTTCTGCCTAGGGCAGCTATGAAACTACCATGGTGACCGCAACTTTGCTGGCACTTTTTGTAACCCAGTGCTTGCTGTTAACCAAATTTATAGCAGTACCATCGGTGTATAACAAAACAGTCCTCCTGTCCAAATATTCTGTGTCATATAAGTGTGTATTGTAATTGCCTAGTGATAATCTTTGCCTCTTGTAGACCATGACTGCTGTGTAATTCCTTGGGAACGTAGGAACTAACATGAATGATAACTTTAAATGTATGTGCTATGTTTTGAGAAGCATAGCATATATAGACTTGTGAAATATTTGGTCTTGCTCTATAATAAGAAATGTTCATTTAACTACTTTGCATTCCTTCCCCCCGCCCTTGATGGTCTGACTGGTTATAAATGAGCTGTTCAGCTACACAATTTCCTTAACACTCTTAAGTTTGGTTTATCCTGTTGGCTAACTTAGCATAAACTACAGTTGTTCACAAGACGTAATTCTGGCCTCTAAACTGACACTTTAAAAATGCATTCTGTGTTTTTTTTACCTTTTATCCAGAATTTTGAAGTTCAAGAAAAGCTTGACTATTTAATTATGACATTAGTTGTTCTATTTCTGGAGCCTTTAGAATAATAGCAAAAGTTGTTTCAAATAAAGTAAGATCTACTTGAGGTTCTTCCATTTTCTTCTGTTTGCCTACAGGGAGAGGTCTATGCTTTAAGCAGGCCATACAGGCCAAATTCAGAAAAAAAAAATCATAGGAAGTGGGTGACTCCAAGGGCGATTTTGCAATAAGGTTGAATTCTCTTCTTTTTATTCTGACTCAGTAGTGAGTTGAAGCTCAAGTACTAATCCTTAAAATTGAAAGCTCGACTGTTTAGAGGTGGTGTTAGCTGTATTACAAGAGGATTATCACAAAGAATGTCATTGCACGGTGAGCCTATTGCAATCCACTCGAACAAATCAGGTTATACATGATTTTTCCGTAAGTGGAGCTCAGTTGTAAAAGTTCACCAGGAGCTTCTTTTGTTGTACGGAGTTACTAAACGTCTCCAGAACCTTTGCAGTAGTGTTCTTGAGCACGTGTCCTCCAGCAGTTTTCCACAATGGCTTTCACTTTCTCATGAGCTCAGGAAAAATACAAGTTACTTAGCCAAGTTTAAAGGAATGGGTTTTTTTGTTTAAAGGAAGGGCAGCCAAGCTCCAAATAAGCTCTGGGAAGATATGATGTCCTTCTTACCAAAGTATGCTGCAATTTTATTAGTGGCATATCTGGGGGAAAACATCGGTTACTTCCTTCAGAGTAGGAAAGGGATGTTCCAAAAAGGATTGTATAAGCAATTAGCAGCTGCTAAAACAGACAGCATCTTGTTCTGTTCACTGTTAGAATAATCTCAAGTATTGTTTTGTTTAAGATGATACAAATAGAAAATTATTTTCTACCTAGAAGCTTAAGTTAAGAAAGTGATGTCAGTCGTGCTATATGGAGGTCTGCAATCACTCCTCCATTTCATGAGGAAGCAGAAAACCTTCATGGTAGTAAACACAAGAGTTGACTGCAGTAGTGGGTTTCCTACTTAAATATGAGTAATTCAGTTCTGATAATTGATAAGTCTACAAAATTAAGTTTACTTTTTCATCAGGTATTTCAGAGGCAAGATGATAATCATGTTCTGTAAAATTAGTTGTAGCTACTGTCTTGTTATTTGCCTGGTGCAATCAATTCCTGAATTAGTAGTCAACTATCTACCCCAGTCACTAACCCTACCAGGGGAGAGAGCAATTGGACCTAATGACTTCCTCTGTTCCTTGCAACCTAAACCATTCTACAATTCTAAATGTTTACTTCTGTATCTGGGGTCTTCTCTAAAAAATATCTTAACAGTAGTTTGCATGTATAATGAAGATTTTCTTAGATTAAAAAGGTGTTTTAAAAAGGTCATTGTAAATTTGAAGGAAGCATGGGAAAGTTATTTGAGTGGCTTTATTTTCTCCCCGATACTCCACTAACCTTTCGGTATGGGATCACGAACAATTAATCCATGCCAAAGTGAGCATACTGATACTTCATCTTGCAACAGTAGGTGAAGGCTAGTAAACTTTTACCTGTCACGTAATAGAGGCAGAAGGATGCCGCTTTTTCAAGCAACCAGAACTTGCTCTGAAAGCTGATGGTTGGCAGTCTGTTCTGACCTGAGAAATTCAGATGTATGCAAGTTCGCCTTTACTCCCTTAGTGCTGTCTTCTGTAGGTTACATGGTGATGCAGTATCAGAAAAATAGTTTTTCAGAGAGGGTACTTCTTAAAGGGCTTGCTTAACTGAAACATGAACACTACCTATCATCATCTTAAAGCTTTATGTATGTTGTTGAGTATAAAACCAAAAAAGCAACTGATTTTTTTCATTCCAAACTGGAAGAAACAGTCATATCTCCATTTATTGAGATTTATTGTCTTCTATGAATTATATTTTACAGTGAACTGTTCCATCAGTGTTTAAAAATGCAAAATCATGGCTGAAAATGCAGTGCATCAGCACGGCTCTATTAGTGGAAGAAATACTTAAATATTATGAAACTATGTTGTGGCATGGGAATCAAAGTTATGGCTGTGATTTACTAGTTGTCCACTTGAATGCTTATACACCCAATTTTTAATTGGATTAATTAAAATTGGATTTTGAAATTAGAATTAATTTAAATTAATTAGATCTATTTGAAAAGCCTTCTGTTGGAAAGTAAATCACTGGCTCTTCATGTATTTCAGGTAACATTCAAGGAGCAACAATAGTGGATGCCCTTGATACGCTATACATCATGGAAATGAAAGAGGAATTCAAGGAAGCCAAGGAGTGGGTTGAAAAAAACTTAGATTTCAATGTGGTAAGTAGTGTTGCTGATTAACATTTAATGCTCTGTTTAGTCTCCAGGGGCCAACTGAAGACTGGGTTCTAATATTGCAAGCATGATATGAGGCTACAAAATTTAGATCATTGGTAGATAAAACAAGGCAGGAAGTAGAAACATAATAAACTTACTGCTCTGCTTATACGCAGCTTTTCAGTCTGAGAGATTTAGGTAGATAGGAGGCAATGAGCTGGACTGAAGGAAGGAAAAAAGAATATTGTAAACAATTAACTTTTCAGCCCTTTTGGATAGAAGAATCAGGACACCGCAAGCATTAATTTTTCAGTTCTGTAAACACTTTACATTTCCACTTTGTGAATTCTTCCACAAATTAGACTTGCATTTAAAGAAAGCCACACACCATACATACCTTTTAAGTTCCTTTGTGTATTCTAGTAAAGTTAAATCCCATAAGTTAGGCTGAGCTGTTGGCACAAACTTAGCTGCTTTAGTCTTACAAGGCACCAGGTCATCACAACTGCATGTACAGGTCATCCTATTAACTGGTAAATATGCAGCTGGGAGCAAAGTTCATTCTTAAAGTTTTTATTCTAGAAAGGCCCTGAACAGGCAAGAACCTCTGTAAAATTTCAATATTTCAATTCAATTGAGAAGTCCTTGGTCTCTTGCTCTTTTTTTTTTTTTTTTTTTTTTTTTTTTTTTTTCTTTTGTGGGCCAGAGTGTGTATGTAATTGCTGGGTACAGAGAGCTAATGGAGTACCTCTGCTGTAGTAAAGTAGGAAAGCGTTGTAGGCACAGTACACTGAGCACTTAAAAGCTCTCGTAGTTGCCATGCATAATGGTAGAAACGCTTTCTGAAAAAAGGTACTCTTTTTAATATGTTACGCAAAAGTCAGGATTAATTAACTTCTCTTACATGCTTGCAAATTAATTATGATTTTAAGAAGGAGGAGTTAATAAGAGTGGATATTATGTAGTTTATATAAGCAGCAATTTAGTGTGCATTTATGTTTACATTAATAATGTAAATATAGGATATTGAACTGCTTCCGAGTACTGTCAGATGTCTGAATGACGTGCTAACTTTATCTTGTGCATAAGATATTTTTTTCCTAAAGGAATTTTTGTAATATTAAATTCCTGTCTTAGTAGCTTAGCATTATTAAGATGTTTAAAAATGTAAGAACAAAACATCATAGAAAATAGCAAACTCTGCTTTAAAGGAAGAGCTTTGCTTTGCTTGGAGGAACATCATAAAGCGCTGTAGAGTGATTTACATTAATAACACTAAAATCTTTGGGTTTGCATATATCTTGCTATAATTGTACTGGAAACTTCTACTTCTGGATAGTATTGCTTACAATTTCAGCTCCTCTTGTTAATTTATGTACTTTTTAAAATTATGTAGCACTCTTTTTTTTTTTTTTTTTTTTTTTTTTTTTTTCAGTAATACTTAAAAGCAATGAAGTCTTTCAAAATGTCTGAAATTTTGTATTGCATTAGTCAGCCAGCAATCTGCAGCAATCCAGCAGATTTACTGAAACTACTTTACGGATAATATGCATTATCTTATTCCTGATATTCCTGTAAATAGCTGCCTTAAGTTTGACACCTCACAAAATTGTTTTCATAATACTTAATAGTCATATAGAATTGAATTTTACGTGGCATCAGTAATGAGTAGATGAATTTTCCCAAAGTGGAATGAGGAAACGGGAATAATTAAGTGCAACACCAACATCAGTAATGGACATCAATTTGTTTGATGGCTGAATTGTTAGAAGCTACTCAGCTTGGACTCTTGTTTAGTTTTCTGCTTTAAATATAAGTTCTAGTATCAAATGCTGCTTTGTATTTGTATCTTATAGTTTAAAGTTCAAAATTATTTAACACAAAAGAATAGCAGGGCCCTCTCTTTTGTATTTAAGCATTTATCATGTATCGGGCATTACTTGACATTTGCTGCACTAATGTTTTGTACACTCTTACTTGCTCCTGTTTTAGAAACCTTTCACCCATGAAAGTGATTTAGTTTTTAATAAGTGACACACTGACATAGCCTTAAGTGTCATTTATTGTGAGTAGAATAAAATGTGTTTCTGTTTGATGTTTCTGGTCATTTCCTGGGCAGTAACTGCTTAATCAGCTGTTGGGGAAGCACATTTGGCTTTTATTTGTATAAAAAGGATAGTTTTTCTCTCCATTTAATCTTAAACTATGCTTTTTAAATCTTAAATTTTCTTTAAGATGTTCTTTACAAAAATAGCTGTGACTATATTCTGTGGCAGAATCTTTTCTCTTTATATTCTACATCAGTGCAGCTGGATAAAGCAAGTTTTCTTCTCTAGAAGTTTGCAATACATCAGATACTCACTGTACATGTTGAATTATTTGGCCAGCACTTGATCATTCTCATCACCTCATATAAAAGTTTCCTAATGTTCACTTTGTAAAGTAGGCAGTAGTTTATCCACATAAAAGGATTTATGGAATAAAGGTGTCTTAATGGGAAATGGCATCATCTCTTCACGTTAGATTTCAGTCCCTCAGTTCAATAAATCAGTTGTCAGGGTTACTCTTTTTTACCTTTCTGAAGAAAGCAAACTGTTCTGATTTAAATAAGTAAAATACCACCTTTCTCTGCAAACTTGTGAATTTTGGTAGGCTAGTAAGTGGACGTGTTTGGAAGCTTCCCCTTTTGGAGTATAACATGCTTAGGCTATTTTTATTATAGCTGGAGCTGTTAGCCCTATGATTTTTATAACTGAGATATCCACATTGCAGTGCTTCCTCATTTTTGATACCTTGCTGAAGTTTCAGCCAAACTGAGTAGTCCTTCAGGAATTAAGTTGCATTTTCCGATTCTTTTTTGGTCTTTGCATCATGGATGTGTGCTCTGTTTTCCATTGAATCACTTTTATCTCCATGGAGGTGTATCTTTGCTCTTCAGTTAATTTAGCTGTGGATTTGGTCTGACCTCCCCCCACACACTCCTGCCTACACACCCTTTTTGCGGTGCTCATGCATGACCCTGCCCAAGGCTGCACTGGGTCGGATTGTGTATCAACGTGTTTTAACGGAGGAGAAAGGAGCCAGTCTTTCACGGGATCACTAGGGAGCTTGGCTGTTCCCCACACACTGCTGCGTGCTTCTCTGTTTTTATTTTTTCATTATTTGCTTTAGGATCTGCACACACACAGAGCATTCATAGCTTTCTGAAAGAGTTTCTGTACCACCACCCAACTTCTCCTTCATGATGGGCAGGAAAAAGTTATTCGTCTCTGCAGCACAAGGGGTGAACCACAGTGAACCCATACTTGGGAAGAGAGATTGGAAGAGGCATCTGAATGACATGGATGAAGGGGTCAGGAGTCGGGGAGTAGTGGTGCAGAAGCTGAGCCACTTGGCACAGCAGTGAAGGGTTGGGAGTTGTTAAGTACTGGAGTTGATGGTGCTTTGCTTCTACACCCAGACACACCCCAACTTCCTTAGGATGAGACACTAACTGATCCGTCCCCCTCTTCTTCAGCCCTCCTAAATTCTTTCCCACAAAAGGACAGTCTTGACCATACTGCGTACTGGGAACAGTCCTTTGCTTACATGGTGTCCTGAAGTGTGCCTGGACATTGGCTGGAACAACAGGGGCCCAAACCAGACCAGAAGGTGCTAACAATAAAATGGTATATGGGACACTGCTTGAATTCATGCCCTGACCCACTGATCAGCCATCTGATGTGGGTGTAGTCAGGCAGGACCAGAATGGGAACAAGGTACGAAGCAGGAAGCCATGGGCTTGGGGGGAGAAGAGAAAATTGATTTCTTCTACCAGAAGATTTCACAAAGGTGAATTTGGATTCAAACTAAAATAACCTTCTTGTTGGTTATTAGTGGATTTTTGCTTTGTTTGCCTCATCCCTCTCTATTTTTGGTCAAAATGGAGGGTGGCAAGAAGTTATGGTTGCTCGGTCAGGTGAAAGTGGCAGTGCTCTGTGCAATAGCTCTATCTATGTGGATATAATTTAGTTGACTTTAGTTGACATTTTGTGCGAGCACTGAATCATCGTGCATCATCGGTCTCATCACAGATACCTTCCCTTGTTAACTGCACAGGATGGATTGACCTAGGAAAGAGTTGATGTTGTGCTGTGGGGAAAGTCTGAAAAGCGTTTCATCATTTGCTCTCAAAGATAGGTACTAAATGAGTTGAGGAACTGCATAAAGAAAAAGGAATGAGTAATATGGCAAGGATACATTCAGTCTTGTGTCCTGCCAGCACTCTTAAGCAAAGCTGTTTACAGAGGCCAGTCAGTATCTGATTTTATAAGCTACCCTGAAGTTTGAAGGCTTATTTACCAGTTCTGATTTTCATCTCTGTACTTAGCTTTGCAAATTTGAGTGTCTTTTAAAGGAGCTTTTTGTGCAGGTTCATACAACGTGGAAGTTTTGCATGTGATAGGTCTACTGCTTTGGGAACTAGAAAAAAGTGGAAAAGTATACAAACTTGAAATTATGGTTCTCTCTACTGCCATGTATAGGTTAACATGCCCCTTTTCCAAGATCCCAAAATAACAAATATTATTTGGATCTAATTGTTAAGGCATCCAGCGTTTATCTTTAGCTCAAATCTGTGGTGTGGCAGTCAGTAACAGGACAGACTTTTAGGATCCAGATTGTTTATTTCTAACTTCAGCATTTACAAATTTAAATCCTGCTACTGTCAAAATTATAGGTATTGTGATTGACTTGTACATATATTTCAGTCCATAACCTAATGTTCTGGCTTGGAGCAGATTTTTTTTTGGCACTTTATTGTTGGTGTTTTTTTCTCTTTTAAGTGATAAAATCAGAAGGTTTCCTAATATAACAATTTTTGCAAAAGGATAGCTTTCCTGTATTAAAAAAAAAAAAAGCCTATGGGAGGTGTGAGTAAATGGACTTCAAGTAAACGTATAATGGGTATGTGAGGAAGCTTAAGAAAGCCTGCAGTTGAAAATGGTTCTTTAGTCTGTGGGACT